TTCCGTTTTTCCGAAGGCTGCCGTGTTGCAGGTTTTGCGAATTTCAGTGACCTGGAGGAGATGGCTGCGGGGAACACACAGCGTAGGGGAGCACGGCAGGGTTATTTTCAGGACATTTTGAACAGATGTGTAGTGTTTTTAAGCTGATAAAGATATAACACTCGACACTGAGTTGTTTGAGCATCACTGATGTATTAAACTACAGCATGCGATCTCCTTCTCAGGACTGAATGTAAGATAAGCGAGCCTGCTCCTTTAGAGTAACTCCCACCCCTGACCTCTATGTGTTTGATCATTGGCACTGCTGTAGTTTTGATGTAAATAAACCACCCTAACGTCTTACAATTTTCCTCCTCTCTCTGCGTCTTAGAACCCCACTTTTTAAAGTATTATAAAAAATAAAATACCATGGGGCTCTTTGGGATCATAAATGGTCCTCGATCCCTTTCCTGAACTATATGCATTTTAACTGCATAGACTTAGAGAATTTTAGAATTTAAAAAAAAAGAATTTAAAGGCCGTCAATGATTATCATATAACACAGAAATTCCTTTGTGGATATTCTGAACATCTTGAACATCTGTTGTCCCTTTGAAAAGCTCTAGTAATTGGGAACTTCTTCCACAGAATAGTAGGAAGATCATAGGACCTAGAGTCAAAGAATTTAGGTTGTAATCTGGCCTCATTTGTAAAATGATCTTGCAAATTGAGTAACATTGAGAGCACTGGTTTCTTCATGCATAAAATGAAGCCCTACTTTATTTGGCTATTCTATACCTGGAAACATTTTCGAAACTATAAAGCTCCATTATCAACAATTATTACATAATTATTATGTTTATCTATACATATAACATATATATAATTATGCTGTTTCATATATAGTTCTATACATAATATATGATGGTGTAAACACGTTTTATAGAAAATATACGAAAAATATATAATATATATAATATATAATATAATGTATAATTATAATATACATACTATTTTAAAAATAAATACCAATATAATAAACTATTTAAATAAAAATATTAAATATTTTCATATAACATAATTTTTTACATTACATGTAGATATCACCTCACAAGGAAATCTCATTTCTTCAATGTTAGACTGATGTAGTTTTTCTAGAAGTGTTTTTTTTTGGTTGAGCTCAAATTTGTTTCCCCAAGGTATTTATGTGTCATGACATTCATTCTTTGAAACAATGTAGAACTAGTTTAATATTTCATCTGCACAATTTCTATGTATTAACCAAGAAAGCTAATAGGCTCAAACTTGAAGTAAGTTTAAGTTTATATTCTATGGAAGAATTTCCTGACATCTAGAACTTTAGGAACAAAGTTGGAACCTCAGTAAAAAGCTTAAAAGTAATTTGAAATAAAGGAAACTTAAGAGTTAGTAAGTTCATGGGACTTCTTTCCCATATATAATTGAAGATTATATTTAGGTTGATAAAATCTTTCTCAGCCCTCTTTAATTGTAAAGAATTGAAGTGGGAAATTATGGTTTTAAGCAGCTAATTTATGTACTGTCTTTAGGGGGCAGTACTAAACCACTGATAAATCTTGTTATTTCTGCTACTGCTGTTGGTAATGGCCAACATCAAATTAAAATAACAATAATGAGATTTATGATGCAATTATTTACACCTTTTAATATATGTACAATTGTCTAGTCAAATGAGAATGATAGTTTGAAATTCAGTCATTTCATAATTCATCCAATTATTAAATTCCATTTTGCATAACAAATTGTAAGAGATACAACTGTGCATAAGGCAATGTTTGCTTTCAGAGAACTTACAACTAGGATAAGCAAGCCATACTTCTGTGCGTGTGTATTTGTGTGTACTTTGTGTATGTACACACCTCTTTTAGGAGAAAGATAATAATAAAAATAGCAATATTTATTATTTTTATGTACCAGTCATTGTCAAACAATCTTATTTTCATACAGCCCTAAGGAGTAAAAATTATTTTTATGCCTACTTTGCAGGTAAGGAAGCTGAGAATAAGATTATGGGACATAATTGGAGATGTATGAACAGGGAAGAGACATAAAGAGTTTTTTGGGGGGAAGGAGAAAGAGACAGAGGAAGAGAAGAAGTGGTTAACCTGTGAAACGGTGATCGTTCCTAGCCAAGAATGTAATGATTTATAGCGCCATGCCCTCTCCACCTTGGTGGTCAATCCAATAATTGATCATGAGTTGCTGAGGGAGACGCCTAGCTGATCATTCTATTTAATTCTGTCGACAGCGTTGGTCATATTGATGCTCTTGCTATTTTAAAGTTTTAGACATCCCCCAATGTATTCACCCTGGATGACCCGTAGGATCAAAAATCCCAGTGATAATCACCTTTTATTACCAATTTGAGAAATGTGTACGTGTGAAAGTAGGGGCTGCTGTGTACCAGAGTACAGAAATTTTCACTGGCTGTCAGATAACAAAATGCTTTGGGGAGTATCATCAGACAGTAGAGATATATCAACAAATATGCTTCTTCAATTTAAACTGCAATTGCATCAGCTTGGTTGTTCAGCATCCTGCCGTTTACAGGTTATTGTGCTGAGTAAGAGGCCATGTAACGCAATGGTTAAGGGGGCAAGCTCTAGAGTCAGGCAGTCTGGGTAGGAATCCTTTTTCTGCCACTTATCAGCTCTGTGATCTTGGGTTTTACCTGACCTCTCTAAGTTTAGTATTTGCCCCAAGGGGTGGTTGTGTGAATTAAAATAATGAGTAATAGTGCTTGAAAGATTGTAGCTATTATTATTAGTGTATCTTATAGATAGTAACTCATTAAGAAACTATTTAAATTTCATAATTTCTCAGTTACTGAAAACTAACGAATGGAAATTTAAGATGTGAATGCCAAAAATAGTCTTATAAAGTCTTCTATTTTTGAGAGCAACAACTTTTTGGGGGAGTAGGGGTGCTATTTGCAATTCAGTATATGAAATAGCTTTACTAACTTTATAGTCATGATCTGTCAGTATTGTACTGAACGCTACATTCCGAAGATTTTTAGGCAAACTTGCTGTCTTTCTTTTTTTCTAAAAATAAAAAATAAAAAAAAAATAAATAAAAATTCCCTTGCTGAATTTTTGAATTCAGCTCTTTGAATATGAAATTTTTCTTCAGTTCTGGCAAAGTTTCTTGAATTATTTCTTTGATAATTTCTTACCAACTCTACGTGGAAGTCTTAGTTTGACCCCCTACTTTTCTTAGCTTTTAACTTATTTTCATCTTTTATTTTATCTTCTGGGAAGTTTCCTCAGACTTATTTCCAACTTTTCTATGGGATTGTATGTATTTGTTTTGTAGTATCCTGTTCTTGTTTCAGGGACACAAATGCCTTCTATTTCTATAACGTTTTCCTCTATTTATTTTGGTCCCCTGTTGAAAGACTTCCTTCCTTTAACTATGTGGTGATCTTTTGGTTCTTGTTTAAATTTAACTAAGAACTTAGAAACTGTATATGTGGGTGGAGTTTGTCGAGATGTGGGCTTCACAGCAGGTGCTAAGGCACAGAGCCCACCATTTTCCTAGGTACTTGAAGACTTTTTTCTGAGGCGGTTAATTCTTGGAGAATATATTCTACTCTCCTTTCTGCGGGGATATAAACTTAGCTGCCATATTCTCTAAGGTACATATAGTAGGCACTGGGGTGGGGTGGGTTTCTTCATTTACTACATACATATTCACTTAATTCCTTTGCTTTTAGACCGATGCCCCTCTGCTCACTGTGCATGGATTCTTAAAATTCATAATCCCTGTGCTTCAACCTCAACAGAAAGTAAATCTTCAATTTCTTGTCAGGTGGTAAAGGTTTAGTATCTTGGGTGGGTAAGAAGGAGGTGGGTTTAGGATGGTCCAACTCTTTCTGATATAGAGTGTCCATCCTGTTTTAGCCCCATCGCGCCCACACCTGCAGAGGTAGTGAGTTTCTCCAGTTGTTAAGCCCTTTGGAGGGTGTTGGGTCATGAACAGGCTTGCTGCTGCCGCTTTCCTCTTGCAGGCACTCTGCTTTCAGTTTTCTCAAGTTTGCTAAATCAGGTAATATCTACACATGTTTATTATTATCCAAAACTTTTCTTGACATTGCTGATCTGCATTTAGAAAATGTTTTTATTAATTTTTAGAGAGGTAAGAAGGAAGAGGGAGAGAGAGAGAGAAACATCGATGTGAGAGAGAAACATTCGTCGGTTGCCCCCCGCAGGCACCTGTATCGGGGATCAAGCCCAAAACCTGGGCATGTGCCCTGACTGGGATTCGNGAAGAGGGAGAGAGAGAGAGAAACATCGATGTGAGAGAGAAACATTCGTCGGTTGCCCCCCGCAGGCACCTGTATCGGGGATCAAGCCCAAAACCTGGGCATGTTGGGATTCGAACCCGATCAGCTTTCAGTGCACAGGACAAAGCTCAATCAACTGAGCCACACTGGCCAGGGCTCATCTGTTTTTAACATCTCTCCTTTTGCCCTTGTCCTTATAGTTTAGACCATGTTCAAAATGGAACACCTGCGATTAATTTAAAAAGTATTACCCCTCTTTATACGTATAATATAAAATTTTATGAATCAGTTTTTTTCAACAAGGAGACTACATTGTGAAAAAATGGACTTTCTGAGTAATTTCTATTTCAAAAACGTATTTGCATGCTATCCTTCTGATTCCGTTTAGAAATCAAGATTTTTCTCATTTGTTGCTATTCAACTGTTTCTTGGGTTATTTTCATGTCCTGTTCTTTGTTACAAACTTTGTACCTTATCAATCTATCCCACCCAGTTTTTTGGTTTTTTTTTACTTTCGACTTAAAATTGAACTATACCTGTGTTTTGGCTGAGTCACATGGCACAGCCACGTACCTATGGCTAGAATGAAGCTGGCTTGCTTGCGAAAACGCACCATAAAAATTATAAATTTAATTGATGTTAAGATATCAAAAAAACATGGATATAATATATTGGTATAATATAAATTTAATTTCAGAGAACTTCATCTACAATAAATTTGTCACCAGGAGAAGTGGAAGAGGAGGACGATGGAAGCTCGTGCGGACCCTCGGGACTCTGGGAAGCGCTGACTCCCTGCAATGGATGTAGGAACCTGGGCTTCCCCACGCTTGCGCAGGTACCGCTCTGCTTTCCTTAAGGTGCTTTGAAACGTACACATGGTTGCCTATGATTTTAATTAAATCATTTCCCCCCCTCTGGAAATCCAGTTAGTATCTTGTTCACTTTACCGTTTTTCTTCAGTGAAGGTCAGTAATATATTTACATAACTTGCCATATATACATGCATATGCAAACACATACTTTACATAACTTTATGTGGTGGTTTTATTTTGGTCATGATGCTAGTTCCAGAAAAATTGAGTTGCTTACGAGATTTTAATATTTATGATCCAGAAATATTTTATTCTAAAATATGCTATTTTGAAATTAAATCATACTTTATATTAAAATAAAAATAATAAATGATTTACAAAGAAACCTATTAGGGCACTTTAAAAGCATAGTGATTTTTTTTTTTTCTTAGCACAATGGAACATTGTAGAATAATGTGTATCATTATTCAGTACAGCCCAAAAAACAAGAGGAGGGCGAGAAAACATTGACTACAGTTTTGAAACCATTTTGCTATCCATTAAGTCCATTTTAATTCGATTGTATCACCTTCAAATTCCTATTGTATGCTGTGGACCACAGGCCCTTAGGGGAGTTTCAGAAAAAGTAAAATAAGCCAGAGTTAGGAAATTTGAAGCCACAGTGAAAATATTTCTACAAGCATGTTATAAAAACCCCAAAAACCAGTTAATGGCAAAGGTATGTATGTGCACCTACATAAAGCATGGTGGAAAAATAGTCCAGGATAGGAAATAATTCACAGTAATTGTCCAGAATAGTGTTATATCTCAAAAATATTATTTTCTGTTTTGTAACAAATGTGAAGCAATTGTGCCTAAGAAACCATCACATTTTTCATGTCAGTGTTACTGACAATTTGATGATATCCATTCAAATTCCAATATTAATTTATTGTGGAGTGCTAAATGGGATAATCAAATCAACACTTAGTACTCAAAGACTCTTCATTGTAGTAGGAACTGTTTACAGAGCTTTAAGACAATTCATCCTAACCATTGCACAGCTGTGGTCAGTATGTACTCGACTGGGAGTTCCATAAAGGTAGAGTGTGCATTGCTTACCATCTGTTCCAATGCCAACATAGTTCCTGGTATATTGTCAGAATCAAGGAATAGTTGAATAAAACAGTGAACATGTGTGTATCTCTAGGGGTTCATTTCTTCACTTATGGTTTTTACATACAGAGTTTTACCTTGTATCTTTAAGGGTATAGAAGAAAGGAAACTAAGAAGCATAGGTTTTATTTTAGTAATATACCCTCATCTGTTTAAAAGCTTACCAATAGTTGAATGCCTTTACTTATATTTTTTGTTTCATATAATTAACTTCTTTGTATCTTATATTTTAAAAAATAGAATTCTTGGAAAGTATCAGGGCTCTAAGCCATCACTAATATATTACTATATTTTAGTTGTTACATATTTAATATATGACTATATTATAGGTTAATACATTTGTTGTGACCACTGTGCTAACATTTAATTTTGATTTATTTTATTTTTATTAGACTTGGTAGTAAGATTGATAGCAACTTGCTTATGGTATAAAAATTTATAATATTAGATATTTTTCTTTTGCCATTTTCCTGTGAAGACTGATATTGCCTCAGTCAATATTGAGTATTACTTAGTAGTTACATTTACCACACAGTTCTTCCTAGTCTGCAGTCTTTTTTTTCTATTAATTTTTTTGTATGTATAAGTGTGAGTATATTGTGTAGTTTTAAAAAACTATCGAATTCATTACACTTCTCAGTTATTTTTTGTTATTGTTGTTTAATTCATCTCATCTATAGTTCCTTTTAACCAATTCCAAATGTGGCTCTATATTTATTTTTCACTTGCTGATACCTGGTTTTTCTATGACTTTCCATTGGACAATAACTCACATTCCTCATTATATTTCATCCTATTTGGTTTGTGTTTTCCTATTTTTAAAACCATATGACTCAATTATGATATTTTAATATATAATATGTGACAGGAGAAATCATTATTGCATTAAAACTATTAGCTGACATGATTGCTTGCTTTAAAAATTTATATTTTATAATTACTATGTCAAATTTAAAGAGGATCATTGTTAGGATTTTAATTGTTGCTGCATTAGATCTATAAATTTACCTGAGATCCAGTATTCTTTTTTATTTTTTTTTACTGTATTTAATCTAACAAATCAAGATTAGAATTCTTTTACCAATGTTCTCATCTAGTCTTCTTTTACTCATGTTCACAATTTGTTGATGGATTTGCTTTTAACATTTATATGTGCTTATATATGCATGTGCATATAGTTCAGTAAGATTGTTTAATGTGTGATGGTGCAAAATTATAAAAATGCTTTTATATTTTACAATAGAATTAACGCACAATGGTTAATTCCTTTAATATAGTTTAATACATTTGTTATGATGCTGGAGGTATGATACTGTCGATTTATGATACAGCTTTCAACAGATTTGAACTCAGGATTTTCTAGACAAATGATTTTGTTATTTATGAAATTTTAAGAAAACTTCATTTTGAAGTCAATATTTTAGGGATCTGAAATATTTTGTGAGACCATTAATAATCACTAAAGCCATAGCACTGCGTCTTGGGCCTCATGAAAAACCACCACCTTGCAGTTTGGTACAGGGGACTTTGGGAGCAGTGGAATTAGTACAGTGCCATTGCAAATTTCTATACACTCAGGTTTGTTGGATTGGAATATTGTATTTATTTCACATTTATAACTCTTCATTTAATGGGATCCAGCAATGTGTCAAATATCTTCTATATTCAAAGCATAGCCCTAAGCTTCAGAACATGAGGATTATGGAAATAAAGACTTAATTGAGCGCCAGGTTATGTATACATTCTGGTTCTGGGATGTAAAACTATGTGATGTATCATTTCTAGATCCTTAAAAAGTTTTACTTGCAATTATCCTATACTTCTAAGATTATTTAATTTTCAGTTTTTGTCTAGATTTTGAACTGATCTTATATCCAGGTGTTATCTAACTTTTTATGTTTTTATGCGGCATTTTCTACTTCCATGGTGACTGGATTATTGAAGTTTTCACAGGAAGCAAGTACTTTTAAATTCATGAAAATTCAGAATTCTAAGTAACATCAGGAGATTAAAATTAAGATTAATAGATTATGTTGGGTCCTTTAATTTCAGTTTAAGTCAGGCCAAGTATTAAAAGAGAATTCAAGAATGAAGAGACTGGAGAATGAAGCACTTTCTAGAAAGTGTAATTACACTCAAATTTGTTTTTCAGCACTTCTGGCAGTCATAATCACTACCATGTACACAGTGCCTATCGTGTGCCACGTATTTTGCATGTATAATGCCTAATTCTCAAAGCAACCATTTGAAGAAGGAAACAGGTAACCTGTTCAAGGTCATGATGTTAAAATGATGAACAGAGCCTATGATGCCATGTTGCTCTCCGGCCTTCATTTCCCTCACCCTGCTTCCCACTGGTTGCCCCAGTCCCTGGTTATATACTGTGGAAATTTTTAGAGTTTTCTTTGGCCAGTAGGTAGAGATCATAAATGAATGAGGATCTCTGAGAGCAATCTTTAGCGTTTTCTTGTCATCGGTTTATTTAATTACATATATCAAGGTAAGGGAAAGTTAAAGACAGTTCAGAGCCCCAAGCTCTTGCGGGCCGTCTCTGCTCCTGCGGTGGCCACACCGTGCTGCCCTCGGGGAGAGGCCGGCAGCTCTCCTGATGTGCTGGAAGCACCCCCTGGGGACACGAGCCGAACGCACCCACCCTGGCCACGCTGGCCGTGCCTCTCAGGGATCTGCGAAGGTGGCTCCTGTTAGTTCTGTGTCTCTTCTGAATCTGCAGACTGGTTGAGCCGCACGCCTGGCACCTGTGACACTGCCTCTTGTTACCCCGCTACTGCCACCAGTCCCGCCCTTTTATCGGGCACGGCAGGCTTTGTGACAAGAATGTGATGTCTCGAATGCAACGTGGGAGGCACGTTGAATTCATTCCCCGCAGCATAACTGCAGAGGTGGCCCCAGACACTGTGGGACCATGTGAAGGCTCCTGATGCTGACTTGATCTTGATCCGCTTTGTAGAAATGAAAGGCATTTGCCTCGGAGGAAGACACACAAGGGAAATCGAGTGAGCCCAGAAAGGCCTGCTCGCTCCTATTCCTGTAGCTAAACAACAGCTTACAGGAAGGGTTTTGAAGTCTCAAGTCCAGCCTCCCCTTTGAAGCAGTATCTCCACCGTGACCCCAACAATCATTCCAGTTTTGCTTGACCGCTACAAGCACCTCTTACGCTTTTAAAAATACACTCGTGTTAGTATTTCCACTGGTAAAGTGACAGGCACCTGAACATTTTATAGCTACTAACAAATTGTGCAGATGTGCACAGCACATCGTATCACCACTGTGCATACAGAGATCCATACGTGGCAGCCATGGAGATATGTTACATCCCACGACGTGTCAGCCGCCTGGGTTGGAGCAGTGTGTGTTCAGGGACAGGCTGGACGGTGAGGATGCTGCAGTGGCAATGAAATAGTGAATATGAAATTAAGAGCTGCTGCCAGCTAAGGGATCTCGGAAATACAGCCTTGGGGAACACTTTGGAGAAGCAGCAGGAACTTCCCTGATGTAGCGTGGTTTCCAAACAGGCTCATTGGGCCCCGAGCCCAATGTGTTTAAAATTAACCTCAGGACACCCCCCCTACCCCAAGCACCCTGGCCCCATCTTCTAGAGACTCTGCAAGGATTTACCTCTGGGCTATTGTCTTCCTCGGACACAGGCATGCCCAGTGTGTCATCAGCTGGAGTGACGTGGGTACCAGTGGTCTTAGCACGTAAACCGGGTCTTCCCAGGGAGCAAAAAGATCTCTTATATCTGAATGGGACACAGGTGAAGGTGGAGAGAGTGGCCAGCGGCAAGCTTCAGGCGGAGCTGCTGTTTTTAATGTTAGGGCTGGATATCTTTGCAAACGCCGAGGGAAGC